GTGTAAAAAACGAGCTACGGCCCAAATAAGATCTTAAATACAAAACAAAAATCTACGGACAGACACTTTTTGATGTTATCTTATCTGTTGTTAATTGGTTTCCATACCAACAAAAATACTTTGTGGTTAGGAATCCGTGCGAGAATTTTCAGCTGCCACTTTTCCTACTTTGCAGCAATGAAACAGTTTGTTTTGTGACCAAAAACTAAAGTGAAATAAAAACTTTTAACATTTTAATATATAACAAAAAAAAAAAAAATTCTAAAATTAATTAAATTGAAATAATTAAATATTTTAATGAATTTGTTACTGTTCAAGTGAAAATTGTATTTGGCAAATATGTGACTTTTATAAAAATATTTTCAACTCAACTTTAAACTTGAGTTCTGGTGTTTGTTAAAATATGGCATATAATATGGCATAAGTGTCATTGAAAATCCAAAAAAATTATTATTATAATTATTAATTAAAATAAAAAAAAAAACAATTAATTGTTTAAAAATAAAAATTCTAATAGACTACAAGCAAACTTTAGAGTCGCGAAATGTACGTGAAAAAATGCAGTAAGTAAAAGTCATAATAATCAAGAGTAAAATTTCAAATCTGATTACTTTCCTTGTGAATTTCGACTTATGACAACGCATGCCAACGCCAACACCACCAACACCTGCACAATCATCATCACCAACGTCACTAGCGCCACCAACACCGTCAACTTTGTCTCATCGATGTTAAAAAAATAAAACAAAATATAAAAAAAAAATTTGGAAAAAAAACAATAAATAATTTCATGAAAAAAATTCTAGATAGAAATGTATCTCAATGTGCTTCAGTATGCCACGCTATGCTATGCTCTGTGTGTGTTTTTTTTCTTTGTGGTTCATTTTTATCTTAACAATTTATCGATTTTTGTTTAGATTACCGCTCTGCAATGATAAGACAATCTTTTCATACCCTACAAACGTTTTTTTTTTATCAGTGCATGTGAGTGTTTGGCATACGTATTTTGTTCTAATGAAGCTAATAATACTATACGCCATCCTCCCACCTCTTCTGCTTCTGCACTCCATTTACTTGTACTTGTACCCTCTCAAATATAATTCTACTTTTTATCTTTCATATATTTCAAATTTTGTGCCTGCCATGTCTCATAGTCTCGTAGTCAGATATTCATATGCAAACTCAGATACAAATTTACCTATCTGTTGACGTCACAAGCGTCGTACTGAACTCATCACAACAATAATCAAAATGAACTGTAAAATATTATTTATACTCGTATTATTTATTCTCTCTTTAATTGCCGACTCAAACAAAATAAAACAAAAATTATTAATAATAAAAAATCCGATAATATTTCATTAAAGCAAAAATCATTTTTTCACAAAATTAAACTGCATTTATTGTTCTGTTCTGTTCATGCATTTCGCGCCATTTAATTAAATTTCGCACAAAATTCGCACTCAGAACGAAATTCGACGTTCCACGCCGATTTATTCCATTTTTTCCATTTTTCGATTTTCGATTTTTGTTTGTTTATCGCAGTTTTTATGGCTTGTCATAAACTATTGTTTATTGTTTATTGACCATAAAAAAGTTTACAATTTTAAACAAATTAATAGGTTTATTAAGTCATCAGCGAGTCGAAATTGTGCTGCTGCCAAGCATAAATTGATTTACGGTGAAGAAAAATTTATATCTAAAAGTCAAGAGCTCATAAAAAATATGAAAAGTAATTTTATTTCATGGCGTACATCAAAGTATCTATCAGGTTCCATGTTAACACGGTCTATGTTGCTCATAAATAACGCCGAGATGAACTTTTTAAACTAAACTCATTTGCGGTTATAGATGTGTTAATAGGTTTTAGCTCTCAGATTTAGTCGGTTGCGCATAGACGCGAATTAAAAGCTCAGATTTATTAGCAATCTTAAGCAAGTGGAAATAAAATTGGAATAATATTTTATATGGATGTCTGAAAGGAGTAAAAATATTACAATACAATCAATATTCATTTTTATAGATAGACGATTGTGAGTTCAGTGGCGCATTTAAAGGAATGTTTTAGGGTTCAAACCGATAAAGGATTTTTTTAATATAAATTTTTTAATTTAATTTTCGAATTAATTGATAAAATCTCCCATTATTTAGTCTCTAGGTATTTATTTAAGACCGTGGGCTCAGTAGTGTACTTAACGGGATTTAGAAATTAATAGAAATAGAAATTAATAAACGATTTTAAAAATTCTCATTATTAATTGTCGATTTAAATCATTTAACGGTTTCAATCGCCTTTAAATATTTTGGCCATTTTTAAACTTAAAATAGGTAATTCATAGTGGGCTCAGTAATGTACTTAATGGCATATTTTAGGGTCCAAGCCCCACTAAAATAATAGAAATGATTTTAAAAACTTCCATTATTAATTGTTAATTTGAATTCTTAAATGATCAAATATTTAATTATTTTATATATAAATATTTTTAATATTTAAATAAAATAAATAAATATTATTAAATATTAAAAAATATTTAAATATTTAGTCAATTTTTGAACTTGAAATAGATAAATTTTAGAAAAAGCAGTACTGTTTTCAGGGTTAAAACCGCTCAAAAATATTTTGGAACATTCATTTTTATTAAATTAGTTTATTAATTAATTAATTAACTTTAAATTAGTTTTTAGAAACTTCTATTCCTGTGTCTTTATGTACTCATTAAAGATTAAAACTGCTTTTAATCTTTAATTCTATTTTAAAAGTGAAATCTCGACTTCTTAATAATATTTCATATTATTTTTAACTTCAAATAGAAAAATAATCTAAATGTTTTCTTGTTAAAAAAACTTGAATTTGAAACACTACCTTAATTAAGTCTCCATGTACTCATTATAAGGTTAAAACCTTTCTTAAACATTTCGGCCATCTTTTAATTAGCAAAAAAGGATAAATAAATTTTTAATTAAATCTTTTCATATTTATTTTATAATAAACATAAACATAAACATAAATAAGCTCAAATTATTCATCAAAAACTTTTTTAAATGAGTGTCTTTGAAAAACGCCATTAGCGCTTTAGTTAAAAACATAAACTGTGGTTAATAGTTGATAGTAGTAGTTAGTTCTTTACATGGATTTACATGATGATAGACTATATTAAGATACTCTTTTTTTTACATTTTTGTAGAGGTATCCTATTAACAGTTAAGTTCAAAATTAGAGATGACAAGAAAAGATACTAGCTTTAGCTTTGCCGTTATATATCCTTTACACAGCATATTGAACTTATATTAAGGTTTTATACATGTAATAATATATATAATATAATATATAAAAATACCTAAATATATATTAAGGTCTTACATATATAATAATATATATAACATAATATATAAAACATATATATATTATATAAATATATAAAATAATATTATATATATTTTATATATATAATATATAAAAGTTAGAAATTTACATGATTAGATGGTATTAAGCGATTTTCCAAGATGACAGACATGAAGAGAAATCGGACATTAGTTAACTGATCATTTAGTCTATTAACTGGTGTGGTCTCCGATAAAAATTAACCAGATCTATATGATGGTATGCTGTGTGATTAACTTATTAATCTAATATTAATATTATCAATACCGTGTTGATATCATAAATTGTATACACAAAAAAATTATCTAAAGAAAAAGCATATAAAAAAGATATTATAAATAAATACAAATATTAAACTAAAATATTAAACTAACTGCTTCTATTTAAGTTCACACAATCCTTTAAATAAATCAATAAAAAGTAAACTGAAATTAATCAAGTCATGAAAAATACCCCGATTATTCTCCAGAAATGTAAAAGTCAACAATTTATCAACGAAACTTACACAACTAACACACTAAGTTATACACCTAGTGAGAACTGTCGCTTTTTAAGTAATCTATGAAACGTGAAAAGTGTTTTTTATAATAGTAGTCATTCTTAAGAATCACTAAGTAATAATAATTTCTGCCTATTAGAGGTACTCTATAATTACATATAGATTATCTATAATCTATGATTATCTATAGATTATCTATAAACTATACTTTTTCTTATTTTGAAAATTTGCTCAATGCCACCTGTGTTCCTTCTCTTTGTGTGCGTTTCAAAAAACACAAACCTATAATATATATATAGATCATAATATAGAAAGAAATAATTCTTTCATTTATATAAATTTAGCTCTTTGCTAAATAACGCAAATAATTTTATAAGTGTAGTTTAATTGAATGGCAAACAATAAACCAGGAAGAAAAAAGTTAATATCAAACTATACTAATATTTTATAAGTACATACATATACAAGTACATATAAGTACATAAGTATATACATAAAATATTTTAATAATTTTGTTGTTATATCAATTTTAATGTGCCTCAGATCTATGTGTGTTTCAAAACAATAATAGTCCCAATGAATGAAGGTCTTGAGATACAGATAGGTCTGCGACGTATTGAGATTGATATAAAAATAAAAATGATTATTAAAACAAAAATTTGAAATTGATTTACATTATTTATATTTATTTTATTTTTCACTAATATTTAAAACATATTCAAACTATAATTGGATATATTAGTGGTCATTTAAATAAAAAAATTTATTTGTATATATCTATTTATATTCAATATGAATAAACGTATACATATTTATACATATACTCGTTACAGTTAGTACAAAAAACATATGTAAAATAATAACATAAACAATTAAATAATTTGTGAAACATGTTACTCATACGCACTGCTGTGCCGTTAAATAAATGTGAAAAATAAAAAAGTTATACGAATTAAAATAAAAAAAGTAATATTCAATCTAAAGAAACATTAACTTAGCAAAAATGAAAACAATAAAAACTAATATTGAGAATTAAAACTAAAAAATCAAAAAATTTTAAAGAATATTAAAAAATTAATATTTCAATGTAATCAATAAATATACATTTGATGGAAAAAGATAAATTAAAATTATGATTGCCACCAACGAACCAATACCAGTTCAAAATACAACTACAGCAATTCCAAATAATCTTGGAGAAGATACAAATAATTTGGTAATTGCATCCACAGCTACCACAAATGGTAAAAATACCGCAAATGCTGTGGTTACAGCCGCAATACCAGTAACAGTAACAGATGAAACACTAACATCAACAGCAGTAAGAACCGTGCCAATATTTACCTTAGGGACAACAGACGAAGAAGATAATGAAGACGATGATGAAGACGATGATAATGAAGAAACCGAAAATGACAATGATGAAGATGAAGATTTACAAGAAAGTGTTGATAATGATAAAAGTCACGAAGCTTTAGAAGATCAAACCAAAAGCTCGACAAAACAAATAGCATCAAATGATGAAGATACTTGCAAAACAACAAAATCTATTGAAGATAAACGTACTGAAAATGCTTCAAAGGAAAATGGTAAGCATTAACGTAAAAGTAAAAAAATATAATTAAATTACACAAATTAAAGAAAATACAATAATACATAAATAAAAAAAAACGAAATTAAATTAAAAATAAAAATAAATTAAAAAGTATATTAACATTAACTTTGAGTGATAAGTGAAAGCCTAATTTTAGGCGCATTTTTTTTATCCATCAATTTTATGCTCTGTTATTTACAGCGTGCACACACGTGTCAATTAATACCAAACATATGTGTTATGTACTTGTTTCTAAAAATTGTTGAAATGTAAAAAAATATTTATTAAAAAAAAATTTGATTTATTTATTTAATTGTAAAAAGTACAAATTTAATTTGCATACACAAATGCACACTCTTTCACAAATTTAATCAAATTGGATTCGATTATTTTTGTATTGCTCTCATTTGCAGTCATACTTCATTCTCATTTTCATTTTCTTGCATTGTCCTATTTTTCCCCCATTTCGTTGTCATGTTTTACTTCCTCTTCATTTCCTTTTCATTGTGTTTTATTAAAATGTATGTCAATCTTATTAAAATTACTTTTTTTATTCCAAAGTTATGCGATGTACTGATAGATAAATTTTATTGACTCCATGCGGTTCAGTATTTGAAGTGATTTCTTAATTTTATTTACAATTTTGGTTTTATTTATTCTGGCAATGTTTTTTGAGTTTTTTTCTGTCAATTATACACTTATTTTATAATAAGTTAAATAATGGTGTTTAAACCATTTCAGAGTAGTCCAAAGACCTATATATTATATGTATAATGATTCTTGGGATTTCATAATTTTGTTTTTAGTTTTTGAATTAAAATAATTTTTGGCTCAGTTGAAGTTTTGAGCTTGGATTCTTAACAACTCATATATTTAGTAAAAACTGTTAATTTTTTAATGAATAATAATAGTTTTTATAAAACAAACCGTTTATGTTTCATTTTCTATTGAGTTTGATGCTCCACATATCTGAAATTTCTGATGCATTCTACAACAGAATTTTCATTGTGCCCTGAATAAATAACAACCGAACTTCACGCTCTTTTTCGTTGGTCCACAATTGACATGATCGCTTCATACTGAATCAGGATGTGTCAATCTCTATCTCAATTGACTAAATTTGCTCTAATCCGGGCCACGATTGAGCGTTCGACTTTCTTATACCTAGTAGGTACGACTAAACTTTAGACAAAGTGATCTCTTTTAACATAATAGACATCAACTTAGACGGCTTTTTAGTCAACGAGTCGATTTCAGTAAAAAACGCGATTTTAGTTTTTCACTTTGGCTGTTTAACAATTGCAGTGTTTTTCAGACAGAAGTAATGGCAATCCACTATACTGTAACATAGATTCTATATAACTCGATTCCTGATACAAAAATCGCAGTCTTTCCGGACAGTTAAGCTACCATTGAATCCCAGCCACAATTCTCACAATTCGAGAATGTCAGGCGTCCCTTAATGACCTAGGTAGGCGTTTGGGTTCTGAACAAAGGAACATCTCAGGCAACTGTAGGGGAGACGAGTTTGAGAAGGCAGGCACTCTGTCCCTAACATGCACTTCTCAGATAGTGGTATTTCACTTGCAACAGTTAAACAAAAACATCTGACAATGAAACAATAAAACAAAAATATCTGAGTATTAAAAAGCAAGATTTGGCAAATGAACTCTCTTATCAGATGTACAGATTGATTTGGTCTAAACTAGACCAAAAATACACCAGCTAGCTACTTCAAGTAAACCGTTACCTGCTCAGTACTACCGCATCAATACAGACGAATCATTTTTCGGACCTTTTTTCTTGCTCATTCTACAGAAGAATATAGTATCACAAAATTAGGGAATTGCTCAAATTTATAGAATTATCATGTTGGCTCATCTTTACCTAATGAGAAGTCGTGCTTTTCGTTGTTACTCGTACGCTGACTTCTAGTCGGGGCATATATAATTGTTCCTTTATAATGAATGGAATTAATCCATTTTCTTAAACCGATGCAGACTTTTAGCTGGACTACTCTAAAACGTCTTCAAACATTGTTTTATTTTGGTAGAAATGGGACTATATTATATTTAGTTCTTTTCAAGAGTGGTATAGGTACCAGAATGTTTCTAGCTTTTCTTTGAAAACAATTTCTCTTTGCTTTTAAGGCAAGCTCCAGTTCATATCATATTTCTTATTTAAATCAAATTTTTAGTATTTGCAAAAATCCTATAGTTACTGGGTACCAAATCCTTAGAGTATGTTTGATGACATCTCTTTTCGAAGCATATTTCTCCCAATTCAATTATCGTTTTCATCGACTTGTGACTTGTTTTTAGTTTAGTGTGAGCAAATGCGTCACTGACTTCAGTAACAAATTACTTATACTAAAATTATGATGCAAATTTTAAACACACTCCTGTTTAAACTTAAAATATTTGATTAAAAAGTCCACAATTTTGCAAATATATAAAAAGATATAAAAAGAAACCTTTCGATTAACATTTTATCTATGCTTAAAAAGTCAATATATTTTTTATTTTTATACGTTTATATGGTCAACGAATAATTTTCACCAAATGAGAGTCCAATATGAGTAGAAAATACAAGCCGAAGAGCCCGAGGGGCCTACTGTCAACAATAGATAGAAAACCAACATCTCGTTCAATAAACTGGGGTTATATAGCTACAGAAAGCTCCCATGGTAAAGTTCCGAGAAGTTGTATTGTAATATACCTTTTTTAACCAATTTTGAAATTTTAAATATATTTTACAAACTGTACTTATATATTATTTCATTTTATACGCTTTTGATTCCTTACAGCCATTATTAATGGACACAGAAGTCATATTAGTTCTCTTCATACAAATTAGTCGTTATTAAACTGCACGATGAATTTCGGTTAAAACTTTTATAACTTCCTTATAAGCTTCATTTGTCGAGATATATAAAATTTTGAAAATATTTTTAAATTAAATTTATTACTAAACTGAGTTATAAAACAAACGTAAGTTAATTATAAAAATTTATATTATATAAAATAAAAGTTGTTGATAAAACAAAATCATACTAAGCATTGCTCGTATGCAAACTTTAACGAATCGTGAGTGAATCTTGCAGATAAATCTCTTACAAAATGTAATTCATTTATAATTCATTTATGTCAGTCCTTATTTCAACACTTTATTCCCAACATATTTACATAGTCTTTGAAAAATTTTTATTGAATTATTGCGTCTAAAATGCATGTCCTTGTTTCATATACTTTCAGGTACGGGTACATCCGGCACGAGTTCATCTGGTGGTGGCAGCAGGCCGGGACACAGAAAATCATCACTTGCACTAACGCCGGAAGATGAATCGATGGATACACATCAGGTAAGTGCACAATAGCCTTTTTATATGAATTTTGAAATGTCCCTGAAATTGATATGTGCAACATGCATTCGTCTGCCAGAGGAGACGACATATACTGGCAACTGCTAGGTATGTGAAAAATGGCTTTGAGATTAAATTTCATTTGGTTTCTAACAAGCACTGCAAATTGCGGTGAATATTTGAAGGTAGTGTGGCTTCAAAGTACTCATATGTACTTGCCATCAAATAGCAAAACTGATTCAATTATGACTATGCCACAGAAAGCTGCCTCAGCGTGGTGGCTAAGCCCGTATGCGTGTGATTTATGCTGTTATTAAATTATTGGATTGCATTAGTGATGTGAAAACCATAAAATTCAATATCAAGTAAATTAAAAATTTATTTTGGTAATTAAATTTGTTATGGATTATTTGACACAAAAATTTATGTTATTTTCCGATATGTTGACAGATATTGTACAAGCGCAACTCACTTAAATGGTGCGGTAACATTTTGCAGTTGCCTTATTTGGATCACAGTTAGTTGGAACTGCTCCATCTAAATGATCAAATTAGTTACCAATAACTTTTTATTTTACCAAAAATAAAAATTGACAAGTATCAGCCTGTAATAGACATTTACAGGAGATGCCTTCAAATGGTCAATAACATATTAGCCAACATTGTGCACAAATTTTGAACTGTCAAAGATTTTTAAAATCACTAATAATTACTGCCCGCAATAGTAATAAATCTTTTTTTGCAGGTAGTTAACAAATTTTTAACAAATTTTAACAAAATTATACGAAAAGTATTACTAAGTTAACATTTTTAAGAAACAAAAAAAATAAAAATTAATATGAAATTAATAATTACATTAATTAAGTTAGCTTTTCTGATTGATTACTTGATAGATTTTTACTGAAAAAATTAAAAAAACTCGATTGCAGCAGGTAAATAAAAATAAATTTATGCTGCCCTACATTTCATGTTTAAGATTCAATTCATATTACAGATAGTTTTAATATATCAAATTATATCAGTATTCATTATTATGTTAATCTTAAACAGAGAAGTTTCGAACAGTAGTGAACTACAACAACAAAAATTATTTTTATATTATTTTCAATTGATTTGATTTTTCGCAGACCATACAACTGTTTCGAGTATTGCCAAATACACCTCATCAGTGGTCTTGGAAATAATTCTTGTATTTAGTTATTTGTAAATAACTTTTTGGCCTGTAAGTACGAGGAATCGAAATCGTGCCCTACCAAATTTCAAACGCAGAGTCACCGCTCCTTAACCAACTGACACAAAGCCGTAATTGAATTTTTTTTGCTCATCTACATCATTCTTTTAATAAGCTAATTTTAAAGTTCATCCTATATATAAGTCTAACAGAATACATTATGTACATATTTCAAGCTCTTTTTGTAATGTTCTACAAACTTTGTTTGAACCTAATAAAGTAAAGTGTAAAGTGTAATAAAGTACACTAGGTTCAGACATTTAACTGAAGGGGTTTTAAGAAGCTGAAGAGATTCACTCCCTTCCTCTCACCCCCTAAAATAAATTTAAAATGCATAATTATATGTATATTCAATATTAACACATCGTAACTAATTAATAAGCTAAACATTTTTTATAAATGACTAAAATTATGTGAAAGATGCTAAGGTCCCTATTACAACTCTCCCCTTTTTTAGCACATACATTTCTGGCTATAAGTTTAAAAATGGTGTTCCCTCTTATCAAAAATTTTTTTTTTGAATACATCTCACCCGAAATCAAACTTACATTAAATGACTTCACTGTAAAAAATTATTTTAAAGAAATATTTTTATTTTTAACAATCCGGTTAATAAAGTATATATTTAGGTTCTCTACGTGTCCACTTAATGTCAACAAGAAATTTAAGAATATAATGACAATGAACATTTTAAAAAATTACACTTTTCCTTTAGTCTCGTGTTGATTAACATTGGGTGTACAGTATAAGTTATAGTATATATAACTATGTATAAGAAGTTATATATAGAAATGCATACCAATTTTTTCGGCATTGGCGGTAACTGACTAATGACCTATTGTATTGTATTGTCGGTTTTATTTTATCATTTTCGATACGTCTCCCACTTATCAGGAGTATATCATAAATTGTGGTTTATTAGAGTTGACAATAGCTAGGGGTTTTACTTTTTCTCTGGGTACTCCCTACATGATCGACACTGGAAATATTTACGAATCAATATTAAAGTATCACAGAACGGATATCAGCAAATCTGCCCATCCAAGCTTAAATATTTTTGAGCAGAGCTTAAGATTCTTGGGGTGATAATTTATTTTCTATAATAGGTTAAAGGGTTTAACCTTGATGTTCTACTTAATATTTGAATAGTAAGATTTCATTATCAAAGTTATATCATATCACGTAACTTGAAACATCGTCCTTAGAGTGATATTTTGAAATTTTTGAATTAATTTCTGCTAAGGACCATTTTCATTTCATAATCTATAGCTTCAAAACATATCCCTTATTACAGTTGAAGTATTAAAGAAATGAATTTCATAGAATGTTATATTTTTCTGAATGGTAAAATGATAAAAAATATGATTCCCATCTAATATGGTAATATATGTAGGGATTTAAAATAATGTTGCAGAGTATTTTGATTTTATAATCTATTGCACCATAACCCACCAATTCTTAATATTAGTTGCAGAATGAAAGAAATGAATTATAGAGAATGTAATATGATTTCCGGATGACAAAAAGGATATTACAGAACAGCTGAAGAGCGTTTGCGTGTTTTTCTTTGTAATAAAAAAAATAGATCTTTTAATCGATCTTCACGTATATTGCAATAGTTGCTTAAATGTAATTTTTTAAAGCATGTAAATATATTGTTGCAGACAATCCTTTTTTAAAGTTCGGGGAATTACTAATTACCGATTATTACCGGACTTAGGTCGTTTATTAAAAACATGAAATTATAAAAATATTATAAAAAATTACACTTAATAATAAGAATTAAGTGTAAGAATTTTTATTATATTTTAATTCTTTAAAAAAGATTTACATTTACAGATCTTTCGCTTTCATTCTATCTTCATTACCATCTTCAGTGTAAAATAAATTAAAAAAGTAATTCGAGGTAGTTTAGGAAAACAACTAGAATCGTTTTAGTAAATAGAAAAAGATTCAAAACTAATTTTTATAGTGGGTTTATTTTAAGACCCGTAAATTATCACACTTCACTTGTTAAAAATCTGCAAAAACTACAACTTTTTAAGCTACTATGAACATTTAGCATTCAAATAAAATTTAAATGAAATTTAATTAAATGCAATGAAAGTTATTCCAAATTTCCATTCATAATAAAAAAAATTTAATTAATTGATTCATTAAATAAGAAATTAACACAAAATTGCCGCACAAAGCAATTTTCACACATTTAGCTAAAAAAAAAAAAACTCAGTGAAGCAAAGAAACGAATGCAAAAGTATCTAAAAATATAAATAAAAATAAATTCAATTAAATTAAATTGTGAAAAATTTCCAAAAACAAGAGTAAACAAAACTGAAATATTTACACAAAACGAACATTGCTGAGATATAAATATTGACAGATAAATAGATATAAATCTTGACATATCGAACGATATGAAATAAATTTTTATAAATGGAAAAATATGGCTTACCTATTCAAAATTTCGTAGAGGTTTTAAATAAAATTTCATACTAGAATTCTGTGCGCAAACCGTTTCGTATCTTCGCCTTATTGGCAGAAGTCATTAGCAATTAATTTGTTGGCGCCTTTTTTGTACGGCAATCAGTTCGTTCGTATGCAAAAACGTTATATACGAGCACAGCCAAGTGGGGAATCCGGGCTCCCCGGTAACAGCGGTGGAGGCGAGCCGTCCGTCAATCGCCTATTGTAACCAAAAATCTGTCAACTTAATTCTCAGCACGGCATGCGGCTAATAAGCGGTAGCGGTAGCAGTTTCAGTTACACGTTTGCGGTTTCAGTAAGCGAAGTTCTCGCGTGTGGCATTTCACTTCAAATTAATGCAAATATTTTTTATTAATTTCGGATTACATTATTTCATTTAATTTATAATACAAATATATTTGTATAAATTAAAATTAACTAATTAATTAAATTAATTTATTAAAAAAATTATTCGCAAATATTATTTAATTAATTTAAAAGCGAATCCTTTGACCAACGAATTGCACAAAAGTGATTTTTTATTTTATAACTTATTTTATATATTAAACGTTTTATGTTATATAAAAAATTATCAAATAACAATATGTTTAGAACATTCTTTTTTCGACGAAAAAGAGATCATGTAAGTACTGAACTTAGGGTTATATAAAGTTAGAGTTATTTATATAAATACAAACTATATAAATGCTTATTTACTGAAGCTAATTGAAGACTACGATATCTTAAAGACTACAATATCTTAAACATTTAAGTATAGCTTTATGTTTCTATTTTTTTTATTGTACTAAAAAAAGATAGTATCTACTTAACACTGCTGCGACAAATCACATCTGCGATAGTTTTTCTAATAACGGAGAGCGAAGGTGAGAGAAAGTATGGGGGAAAAAGAAAACAATTGAAAAACGTTAGTTACCGAAGTTGCGATACTTTTGAGATAACTTAGTGCAATTATCACATTGGCTTTACAAAGTAATATAACTTCATTAATAAAATATAACAATTAAAAATAAAAATATAATTAATTAATTAAATTATTCTTCAACTGGTTTATGATTTCGTTCTAATATAAACACAACAAATGAATTTGTTAATAAAAATTTCACAGCAAATTCACAGAACTAGGTCAGTTGAGTAATGAACACTGACTCTGAGCTTAAAATTTGGCGGAGTACAAGTTCAACCTGTGGTATTCTCAGTCTCAAAAAACTATTTGTGAACAATTAAATATAAGAAATATAAAAATAATTCCAAGACTGTTTGGCAATACTCGAAACAGTTGTATGATC